TGGGTCTCCTCAGGGTGCCGTCGGCCAAGCAATGTCGGCTGGCGACCCCCAGGGGGAGGGCCTTCTCTGTGGGTGCCCCCGCCCTCTGGAACGAACTACCCCCCGAGATCCGGATGATTCCGGATCTCCTTACTTTCCACCGCGCCCTCAAGACATGGCTTTTCCAGCAAGCGGGCCTGGCCTAGGGAGGATTTTAAATTGGGTTTATTTTAAGAAAATTTTAAATAGCACAACGTGAAATATTTGGTTTTAATTGGTTTTATTTGGCGGGGATTGTGGACGCGTTTTTGTTTTTAAATATGTTGTGAGCCGCCCTGAGTCCCGTCGGGAGAAGGGCGGGATATAAATCTAAATAATAAATAAATAAATAAATAAATAAAATCCAAAACTTAGTACTGGTAATCATCGACTTTTGACGGACTCCACACAACCTACTTACAACCTGATTTCAAAGTTATGACAGCCAAACACACGCACACCCTGCAATCGCATTTTCACATATTGGATGCTTGGCAGCCAGTTCACCTTTATGGTCATTGGCAGCATCCTGTCATGGTGATTTTTGACGGGTTTCGCCAGTTTCCGGCATTTGTTTCTGGCTTCTGTCAAAACCCACCCATTTGATAAAATAGATTAGTTAAAATGAGCATTTTGTTCTATTAATGACTGCCACAAATATGTCGTAAAATCAGGTCTGGTCACATGGCAGCAATACCGATAGCACTTAGACTTATATACTGCTTTATTGTGTTTTACAGCACTCTCTAAGCGGTTTACAGAGCCAGCCTATTGCCCCCCCCCAACAATCTGGGTCCTCATTTTACCGACCTCGGAAGGATGGAAGGCTGAGTCAGCCATGAACCACTCAGGATCAAACTGTTGGCAGTCGGCAGAGTTAGCCTGCCATACTGCATTCTAACCACTGCACCACCCACAGCTCTGGTGACCCGTTTAATGATGCAATGTTCCAGGCTCAATTATGGTCATAAACCGAGGACCATTTGTACTTGTCAAATCTGCTCTGGACTTTCTAGCCTGCTCTTCCTAGATGAGGAGCAAGCAAAATGTGACATTCTAGTTTAGCTGTAATCTATGTAAGGAAATAATAATGATAATGATAATGATAATACTAATAATATGCTGGTAGCAACCCGTGCCAACCATCAGCGCCAGCCAATTTGAATGTTCAGTTGACTGAGGTTCATGTTTAATGAATAAAAGATAATAATAATAATAATAATAATAATAATAATAATAATAATAATAATAATAATAATAATAATAATAATAATAATAATAATAATAATAATAAAGTTAGAAGGGACCTTGGAGGTCATCTAGTCCAACCCCCTGTTCAGGCAGGAAACTCTACACCATTTCAGACAAATGGTTGTCCCATCTCTTCTTAAAGACTTCCAGTGTTGGAGAATTCACAGCTTCTGGAGGCAGGTTGTTCCACTGGTTAATTGTTCTAACTGTCAGGAAATTTCTCCTTAGTTCTAGGTTGCTTCTCTCTTTTTAAACTTTTAACAAAAGGTTCTCACAAATCAGACGAAATTGACCAGTTTCCTTCAGGGTCATACTCCCAGTTTAACTTTCGTATTCCCGTGGCTACTGTTTGATAAACCATAGAATTGTACCTCATCCATTTAGCCCCAAGAGATTCACCTCCAAAACCAAAGTACGCTTTGCTGCTTTCCAAATTCCTTTCCACAATTGTGACTGTCTGCATTGATATTCAGAGCTTGAGATTCTACGTTCTTATCTGCTGCTTAAAAATTAGTTTGAACGTCTGATTGATCTTTCTATTTCGTGAACACGGTGAACTGCACTACAGTGAATTAGACCATTACTTTTTCTTCCCTCTATATTTTCCACACTGACAGGCAGCCCACCTTAAAAACTTTCACAGTCCTTACCTAAATTAAATCTAGAATATCCTGCCTGCAAATTATGTTTGCTATCAGACTGTAGCCCTTCCTCAGAGCTAAGTATCTATTTGTATTCTAGTCCCGTTAATCCCAGTCCAGAGAGACAAACTGAACTATGAATGAGCTTATTTTGCCAGAGCTGCATAGAAAACAGTGGTGAATTTGGGGAGGGGGGAGAGGGATTTTAATCTGCTCAAGTAAATAAAGACTTATTGCTTATCTTCCCCAGGTTGATCATATAATTACAGAGATATAATTCTCTGGTCTTCCAAGGGATATTGCCAATTGCATTTCATTCTACTTCCATAGAATAGCACTGACTTCACCATAGCTGGAGGGCTCAATCTCAGAGTATCGCTCGTCGCACATTGCTTGATTGACATGTGTTGGGATCTGAGTGGGAACTGCTGGGAAGAGCTTGGAGCAGTTGAAGGCAAAGTAACGGTAAACTTTCCAGCTTTGCCCAAAATCTGATGAGCGCTCAATGAGCATGGCTGCAGGACGGAAAGTCTGAAAAGGAAGGAAGAGACGAGTCAACTGGAGAATATTTGTCGCTGCTCTAGCTAACTTCCCTGTGAACCAATAAGAGATGGTCTCTGCATTAAAATGTCCAAAACATACATGAATACCAAAACAAGTCAGGTATTTGGGAACAAAAGAGACTGACTTTTCTAGATGCAAGTTTGATTTTCTTTCTTTTTTAGATATATTATTTATTTATTTTTTTAACAAAACATAAGTCACTCAATAATTGGTAAACAGTGTGTTGTTTGGGTAACATTTGTGAAACAATTAATTTCTATAATCTGTCTTCCATATATTAATTTTGGTTGATATCCTCTTTCCCCAAAATATCCTTTTTTGCAAACATTGAGTTAATACAATTCTTATTGTTTTAATGAGTAACAATTAAATATTTTTTTCCCAATATTCCTAAAAAATAATACGGTAATCATATTAGTATAGTATTTCTTTTCTTTTCAGTCATTTTGGTTGCCTTATCATAAATCCTGTTACAATCCTTATTTTGGTTTATTTCTCCCATCAAATTCTAGATATTCTTACTAATAAAGATTTTCTCAACGATTAATACAGAACAACTTTGCAAGTTTGATTTTCATTCACTTTCCCCTCTCTCCAGACCTCCTGCATATTTCATTCATTCATTCATTCATTCATTCATTCATTCATTCATTCATTCATTCATTCATTCAATTTCTATATAACTGCAGTATATTTCCATGATATTATGGAAGAGTTCCCATGACTTGCTTAAGAATATAATACATTTTTATTTTACTAGCACTTTTCTTACATATTTCCACCTGTGGAATACCTACAGGACTTGTCCCAGAGGGTTGTGTGTCAATTTGTCATAACACCTTGTCGGATCAGATGCTGCAGTGATTCAGGGAGTCCCATGAAATAGAAGGGAAGGGTCTCACATGTTTTAATGCTCCCCACCCCTCAATCAGGTTTTAACTGATGACTGGACCCATCTAGCTCTCTGATGCAGGATATCTCCTCCCATAGTCCCAGATCTGCTTGGGGGAGCAACATATGGATGTTTCTGCCACATCCAGGAAACTCCACCAATTGCTGCACCTAACATGCCCTGCAATGAATTGTTAGGATAGTTCAGGGGTGTCAAACTCAATTTCATTGAGGGCTGCATCAGTATTGCGGTTGCCCTCGGGGGGGTGGTGGCCTACTGGGTGGGTGTGGATGGAGTGGGTGTGGCCTATTGGGTGGGCATGGCCAGCTCTACATCGTTCGATTCAAGGGTGCCTGTGGGGGCCTGGGCAGGAGTGGGACAGATCTGAGGGTCTCTGGCAGAAGGGGGTGGGACCGAGGCAAGTGCCAAGGCATGGTCCACTGGAGGAGCCTCACTGCCTGCTGCAACCCCTCCGCCGGAGCCCATCAAGCCGGATATGTGAAGTAGGCAAGGGCCATTTGCTGGCCACTTCCAGGCGATGGTGCATTTCTTCATTCCTCACAAAGGGTGACACTTCCCCAGCATGCACCCAGGGGGTGGGGCCGACGCGGCAGGGGCTGGTTCCTTGCTGTTTCCAGATGCCTTGTGGAGCTAAGACCGAATGCGTTTCAGCATAGATGGCCACCACAAAATTGTACATTGGCTCCCGGCTGACCTGGGCCAGGGCCAAGGCAGTGGAGGCCGTTCCCTCACTGTTTCCAGGATGGCTTCGCGGGCCACATGAAACCACTTCGCGGGCCGCATCCGGCCCCCGGGCCTTGTGTTTGACATGTCTGGGATAGTTTCACTCACTGGCGTCACTACAAAGCAGTGCTGAGATCAGTCACAAAAAAGAGCAAAGTTATCTCAACACTGTTTGCGGTACTCATGGACCAGAGGACCCCATATTAAGCTGGCTCTTCAGCTGTGCACTGAAGGTAGCTTATTCTGAGGCTGAGGGTCTCTGGATTGCAAATCCCAGCAACCCAAGACAGCATGGCGACTGACTTGAAGTTATGTAGCTCTGGCCCAACAAATCTGAGAAGAATCAAGTCGATTCTAGACATAAGCAACATCTATATACCCTTCAAAAGAGGTTCTAGATTAAAAACAGAAATTCCTGCCAAGTTGGGTAACATTTATGTGCCAACTTAAACGTTAACAATATTATTGTATTAACATGTACGAGTTTCACAAGTGCAAATAGCCACTGGGATGCATGCATGGAATAATAATCAAATGTGTAGCAGGCAGGGAAATCTTTAAACTCTTCCCTGCCCATTGGGGTTTTTATGAAAATCACTTCTTTAAAAAAAGAGAGGAAATCCCCCATTGGCACAAATTTAAATTGGTCCAAAAACCTAAGTATTTGCAGTAAAGCACATTCATGTACACCGGGGGTAGTCAACCTAGGCTCTTTTATGACTCGTGGACTTCAATTCCCAGAATTCCTGAGCCAGCATGGGGGAACTATGGCCCCTTCATGACTTGGGGACTTCAACTCCCAGAATTCCTGAGACAACATGGGGGAATTATGGTCCCTTCATGACCGCTGGACTTCAACTCCCAGAATTCCTGAGCCAGCATGGCTCAGCTTTGAAACCTCTCCCTTTTCCCTCAGCACGGCTGGCTCAGGAATTCTGGGAGTTGAAGTCCACGAGTCATAAAAGAGCCAAGGTTGACTACCCCTGATTTATACACTGAATTTCTTTTAATAACATCAGAAAGTAGAACTATTCAATACTTTTGTCAGATACTTCTTCTACCTCCTATGAAGGCAAAACATCTAATATCGTCTCTAGGGCATCTATCAATTCCTAGTTCCTCAGTACATTACCTTAAATTTCATTATGAGGTGAGTAAAGTGGAATTCAGCTTCCAGGTCCAATCGAATGCTGACCTGCTCTACTCCTGGAGAGGGACAAAAGGCAAAAATGAGACCTTTCTCACGGACTCTGCTCAAGTAGTCTTGATATCTTGTAATGCTCAAGAAAGCAGGGACTTGCTATCTAGCGCCACCGTCCTCTTTCCAACTCCCCTCCATTCATTTGTCTTCATGAACTGAAGGGTGATGGGTGCAGTAGGAAGTTTAATGTGTCATAACATCTTCCCATATGACTGAGAACTTCAATTATTCAGGATTCCAAATTATGTGTGGAGATTCCAAGAATCGGGTTCTCTTCAACAAACATGCATCTTCTATCTAACCCAAAGAGGATGGCAGGATGACAAGACTGCAGCAAAAAGGCTGAATTTAGATAACATGTCTCCATTTCCTCTGGTCATGTATGGAGACAAAATCTTCCATAAAGCTTTGAGATTAGAATAGAGTAGAGTAGAGTAGAGTAGAGTAGAGTAGAGTAGAGTAGAGTAGAGTAGAGTAGAATAGAACAGAACAGAACAGAACAGAACAGAACAGAACAGAATAGAGCTGGAAGGGACCTTGGAGGTCTTCTAGTCCAATCTCCTGCTCAAGCAGGAGAACCTATACCATTTCAGACAAATGTCTGTCCAGTGTCTTCTTAAAAACCTCCAGTGATGGAGCACCCATGATTTCTGGAGGCAAGCTGTTCCACTGGTTAATTGTCCTCACTGTTAGGAAGTTTCTCCTTAACTCCAGGTTGCTTCTCTCTTTGGTCAGTTTCCAACCATTGTTTCTTGTCCTGCCCTCTGGTGCTTTGGAGAATAATTTGACACCCTCTTCTTTGTGGCAGCCCCTCAAATACTGGAATACTACTATCACGTCACCCCTGTTTCTTCTTTTCTTTAGACTAGCCAAACCCAAATCCTGCAGCCGATCTTCATATGTTTTAGTCTTCGGGCCTTTGATCATTTTATTTGCTCTTCTCTGAACTTTTTCCAAAGTCTCAACATCTTTTTTATAGTATGGTGATAAAAAAAGGGTTGCAGTATTCCAGGTGTGGTCTCACTAGGGTTTTATAAAGCGGTACTAATACTTCGCGTGATCTTAATTCTGTTTATAGCTCTCATCATACAGCACATTCTGAGAGACAAAAGTGTCTGAGATACAAAGGATGTTGCCAGCAAGCATCATTCTCAATTCTTACTGAAATACTTTGATTTAATGTCTCAGGCTATGACCAGCTTTTCTCTTGAAAGTCTTTAAAAATAGTCCCATAAAGCTGCAGATAACATTATTTTTTTCTACTGCTCTGCTATAACTTGTGCAATCTTCTCCATATGATTTCAAACTTGCAAAAACATTGAAAGACCATAGGAATCAGCATTCTGGAGAATGTCTATCCATGTGGTTGTTAAGAGTTTAAACCATTTACTGGCACATAATCAATTGTGTGCTAAATTTATATTCTGCCTTTCCTCAAGGCAGTTTCTTTGAAGATCTCCATTCATTTTATTCTCACAGCTTAAATCTTGTAACATAGGTTGGATGAAGAGAAAGAGAACAATTGGCTCAAAATGTTCCCACTGCTGAAATTGGATTTGACCTGGTCCTAGTTCAACTTCTTAACCATGGCATCACATCGACTCCTACAAGTACAGATCCCTGTAGTTCCAGTTTAGCCAGTGGTGACTGATACTGGTAATTGTAATTGCACAGTATTTGGAACAGAGTCTGTTTGGTGTAGTGGTTTAGGCATCAGATTAGAACAGGGGTCTTCAAACTTGGCCCTTTTATGACTTGTGGACTTCAACTCCCAGAATTCCTCAGCCAGGCACGTGTGCCTGGCTGAGGAATTCTGGGAGTTGAAGTCCACAAGTCATAAAAGGGCCAAGTTTGAAGACCCCTGGACTAGAAATGTGGAAACTGTGAGTTCTAGTCTCACCTGAGGCACAAAGCCAGCTGGTGATCTTGGGCCAGGCATTCTTTCTTGCACAATCTCTCTTTTTCACTTCATGAAAAATATAGTAGGGTTATCAGATCTGGACTTCAAAAGTCGGAGAGTCCACTATGGCAGCAAATATAGTGGTGCCAATATAGGGTCCGCTGGGCTTTTCCAGCCAGTCAAGATCTGGCAACACTAATGATGAAAAATGTTTTGTTGGAGACCAACAAGATCTGGAGATGTGTAATTTTTGGGAGTTGCTGGACATCTGGAACCAATGAAGATGAAACATTAGCTTCCATAACTCCCAAATTTCTCATTCTTACCATTCTCAGACTGCCACCAGGTCTGTTCACCATTCTGGCCAGTAAGGTAGATGACATTCTCAATGTGGTGGCTCTCACGGAAGGAGGATGAACGTGAGTCACAGATGAAGCATTTCTCAGAGTCCTATCAAAAGAATCATTCTGGTTTAAATATACAAAAGCACTGCACCTACCTTCAGTAACTTTTATGGTGAGTGTTACCAGTATTCTCTAGTCCAGGGGTCTCCAAACTTGGTAATTTTAAGACTTGTGGACTTCAATTCCCAGAATTCCCCAGACAGCATGAGGAATTCTGGCAGTTGAAGTCCACAAGTCTTTAAGCTGCCAAGTATGGAGCCCCTGTTCTAGTCAAAAGACAACTATATCGTATTTAACCAGAGACAACATCTATGGTCTGCAGAGACAACTTGATGCCTAGTGGCCAGGATGTAGCCCATAGATTCCAATCAAAACACACTTATAAACATATGAGCCGTGGTGGCACAGTGGTTAGTAGTAGTANGGGGGGGGGAGGATATGCTGACTCTGTAAACTGCTTAGAGAGGGCTGTAAAGCACTGTGAAGCGGTATATAAATCTAAGTGCTACATTCTGCGATGGCTCTATCTAGTCACTCACTGCTGCCCAAGACAGCATTGTGAGGAATTTCTTTGTGTTTAGCTATCTTATGTGAAGGAGTATCAGAACTGTATCGGGGGACATCTCTGTATCATATAACTTGTGGGGTAGTATAACTTATTGACCAAAAAAGCTACCTGATTCTTAAATGGACCAGGAGGACTTTAGTGCCATTGTGTTCCTTTTCTTCAACTCTCCAACTCTTCTCTCTTGTCTTCAATCATCTAACTTTCTGCCCCCCAAATTCTCTCTTGTCTTCAGTCATCTAACTTTCTGCCCCCCAAAGTCTCCCTTGTCTTCAATCATCTAACTTTCTGCCCCCCAAATTCTCTCTTGTCTTCAATCATCTAACTTTCTGCCCCCCAAATTTTCCCCCTCCAATCTGATGCTCACAGGTAAGTGACTCGGGTGGCATGCAACAAAGCTAAAAACAATGTATATTAAGTTTGTTGTTATTAAAAGCTTTAAAATTCTAAAGGCACAAAACTGTGTGTGTGTGTGTGAAGAGAAAGAGAGAGAGAGAGACAGACAGACAGAGAGACAGAGAGACAGACAGAGAGACAGAGAGACAGAGAAAGAGGCAGAAAAGCAGGTGTTAATTACACTCGAACAATCTCATTATTTTGCCAGTCTCCTGGAGTCCTCTAGGACACAACAAGGTCTTAAAGAATTTCTGGAAAGTTAAAAGGGATGAGGCAAGCCTCACTTCAAAGGAAAGAATATTCCATAAATTTGGGGGCACAGCAAAAAAAGGCCATCACCTTAGACCTGCCAAACGGGACCCCACATCATGCCCTGTCTGCTAGATCTGGTGGGACAAGCAGATGTAATCAGGGAGAGGCTGTCCCTCAAACGACCTGGTTCCATGCCATGTAGGGCTTTAAAGACCAAAACCAACACCTCAGACTAGAGCTGGAAACAGACTGGTAACCAATGCAGCTTGTTGAGCAGAGGTGTAATGTGTGCTATTCCAGAAACACACATAACTGCTCACCCTGTTGCATTCTTTATTAACTGAAGCTTCTTCTGGAGACTCTTCAAGGGCAGTCCCATGTAGAGTGCATCATAGTAGTCCAGCCAGGAGGTGACTAGCACATGAGTGACTGTAAATACAGCCTACAGTGGAGTATACTGCTTTTTATAGCTGGCCCAATAACATTTTTCTGCAGTTGTTTTAATACTGTTTAGACATCACAAGTTCTCGACCAGAGTTACCTGAAGATGGCTGACAATGCAGTACTCTTGAGGCTCTTCCAGGCCACATGTTGATGTCGTGCTCAGGCTTTGGGTCCTCCCAATGAGCAGGTTTCCTGTGGCTGGGTAACAGCTACCTTCCAAACAACCATGGTATAAATCAGGCTCTTCTGTGCCCTGAACATCACCTATCCAGCCTGGTCAAAGAAACAAGAGAACAGCCTACTCAGTCCGTTTTAAGAACGTATGAAGTACCTTGGCATTGAGAAAAAAATATGATCTCATCCAGAAAGACTAGTGCAGTGGTGGCGAACCTATGGCACGCGTGCCAGAGGCGGCACTCAGAGCCCTCTCTGTGGGCACGCATGCCGTTGTCCCAGCAGAGTTCGCCAGAGTAGCGAGCACGTGGCGTTTGGAAGCGACAGGGCAGGAAGTGAGCGAGCAAGCATCATTGGCCCCCTGGGGATGCCCTGGAGATGGTAAGGGACTGGCCCCCACCGCCCTGGCTCCGGACACGCTCACCCAGTCTGCCATGACCACTGCAGCCATGCCCACCCAATGGCCACGCCCCCACGCCCCCCCAGGGCACCACAATGCTGATGCAGCCCTGGCACTTTGCGATACTAAGTGGATTTTGGGTTGCAGTTTGGGCACTCGGTCTCTAAAAGGTTCGCCATCACTGGACTAGTGCCTTGTGTCCCCTCCCTACAAAGAAACCTATTCACGATTAATAATAGTGTCAACTAGGTAAATGACTCCAACCTGGTACATCCAAGCCAAAAAAAAAATCTCAAACAGCAGAGATGAAAAGAAGGTAACTATTGTTCCAGAAGGAACATCTAAAGCACGGGTAGGCAACCTTTTTCTCTTTTATGACTCGTGGACTTCAGCTCCCAGAATTCCTGAGCCAGCATGGCTCAGCTTGGAAACCTCTCCCTTTCCCCTCAGTATGGCTGGCTCAGGAATTCTGGGAGTTGAAGTCCACGAGTCATAAAAGAGCCAAGGTTGCCTACCCCTGATCTAAGGGCTAGATTTGCATGTCACGGAAACCCAGTTACTCACAAGAATTTTAACACCTTGCTAACACAGGTCATCCTCAATGTACGACCACAATTGAGCCCAAAAATTTTATTGCTAAGCGAGACACTTGTTAAGTGAGCTTTGCCCCACTTCCTTGTCACGGTTGTTAAGTGAATTGTTGCCGTTGTTAAATCAATAACATGGTTGTTAAGTGAATCTGGATATCCCCCTTGACTTTGCTTGTCAGAAGGTCGCAAAAGGGGATCACGTGACCCCCCCCGGGACACTGCAACCATCATAAGTACGAATCACTTGCCAAGCATCTGAATTTTGATCACATGACCATGGGGATGCTGCAATGGTCGTAAGTGTGAAAAATGATCATAAGTCACTTATTTTAGTCCGTTGGTAATTTTGAACAGTCACTAAACAAATGGTTGTAAGTTAAGGACTATCTATATTCACAAGAATTTTAACAGATTGCAGATATACCATATTTGATTGCTTCTGCTTGGCTCTTCCTGCCAGAGGCCATTCTTCTTATTTCCCCCTCCCCCCAAAAAAGTCAACAAATAGAAACCAAGAATAAACCATGGCTTCTGATCCTGGCATGTTAAGGGTTTCCATATCCCAGCTGGCCCATCTCAGTAATTATAACCAAAATTTGAGCTTCGGGGCTCGTTTAGCTTTTGCTGTTGATTAGACCGGCCAGCTGGGAGCAACCGCTCCAGAAAATGGTTCATTCTGTCTTGGTGTGAAATACAAATGCATTGTTGTAAAATCCTAGAACTACCTGCTAGCTCGATTCATGAGTTACCATTAGGCATCAGCGGAAGAAAACAGATCATGAATTAAGTACCCTCCGGATTCTGGGACTGACTCACCGTAAAATGCTTTTTAATTCTAGAGGGAATAGAATGAAAAATAAAATCTTATTTTGTATTCCCTTGCCGAAGAAAAAGCTAATAACCGTGATTTTTCTCTCTATACTAATGATCTACTGTGCACATTCTGAAAATTAAAATAATAAACAAGCCCATATCTGGGAATTCTAACTCCCCCAGCAACGCAGTCCTCAAATGCCTACTTCTGGCTACGGGGAACACAGTACCTTACTCATTCTCTGGGGACCCTTTCCACGTGTGGTGGGGTTTTTGCAGTGAAGTCTAATCATCTCTCTTGAAATCTAATGTCCATAATGGAATTGCATAATTAGAATCCTAAGAAGAACCAACTGGGGGTTAAGTAGGAGCAGGGCTTTTTTTCTCATAGAACGCCCAGAACGGAGTTCCGGCAACTTTTTTGGATGGAACCTTGTTGTATGATGTGTGTGAGTTCCGGCACCTTTTTTTTTTTTTTTTTAGAAAAAAAGCACTGAGTAGGAGACAGAATTCCTCCCTGGGGACCACACGGTCTCATCACAAAGGTACTTTTCCAAAGGCAACTAGACTTTTTCCTGGTTTTTTCCCCTTGAAGACATTTCACTTCTCATCCCAGAAGCTTCTTCCGTTCTGACTCATCGCCTTTCCCAGTTGCCCAGTTTTGTGACACCCATTGTGCCACCCATCCTACCTACAGTTAAAGAGGACAGGTAGTCCTCAACTTACAACCATTCATTTAGCGACTGCTCAAAGTTACAACACCGAAAGAAAAAGTAACTTATGGCCGATACCTGCACTTATGACTATAGCTGCATCCTCACGGTCACACAATCAACATTCATGCAACTGACATTTCACAATAGTTGCAGCATCCTGGGAAGATGCGATCACCATTTGTGACCTTCCCAGCCACAGCTTCTGGGAGAAGCAAAGTCAATGGGGGAAGTTGGATTCACTTAACCACGTAAATCACTTAACAACAGCAGTGATTTGCTTAATAACCGTTGCCAAAAAGATCATAAAACTGGGCACGACTCGCTTAACGATCATCTTGCCTAGCAATAGAAATTCTGGACTCAGTTGTGGTCATAAAGTTGAGTACTACCCATCGTACAAATCTTGGTAATTGCCATTGTTATCTGTATTGTTATTTTGTTTACCTTATGTATTTTTGTTGCATTTTATGTCTACTTTTTAATTTTATTAATTACAGGTTAACTATGGGGCTGGAGAAGACTCCTGCGAGTCCCCTGGACTGCAAGGCGATCAAACCGGTCAGTCCTAGAGGAGATCAACCCTGACTGCTCTTTAGAAAGCCAGATCCTGAAGTTGAAACTCAAGTACTTTGGCCACCTAGTGAGAAGGAAGGACTCACTGGAGAAGAGCCTGATGCTGGGAAAGATTGGGGGCAATAGAAGAAGGGGACGACAGAGAATGAGGTGGCTGGATGGAGTCACTGAAGCAGTAGGCGTGAGCTTAAATGGACTCCAGAAGATGGTAGAGGACAGGAAAGCCTGGAGGAACGTTGTCCATGGGGTTGCGATGGGTCAGATACAACTTCGCAATTAACAACAAAATGTTTTTATTGAAGTGTTTCCTGGCCTAAAGTTCACAATAAAGATTTTGATTGGATTAATCTCATCAACAATATAACTTGGCAGTGTCTCTTTTCTGCCATGTCCTAATGATTTTGCTTTTGTCTCATCCCCAGCCCATATGAGAAAGTGTTTTGTTGTTTTTAGCTTAAGCGATATAAAATCTGTTATACCTGACCACACATAACATTGCAGGTAAATCAAAGTTGCCGGTAGTGGGTAAAGTAAGAGCAGTACTTACTGGTCATTTGGGGCACATCCTACCCCCTCTGATTCCTGATTGGCCTCATCTTAGGAAAGTCTGTTTCACTACTGATCAAAATCTACTTCCTTCTAAGTTAGATCCATTTTTTCTGCTGCCTTCTACAGCAATTCTTTCTCATCTTGTACATGCCAGCCTTGCGGTTACTTGGAGATGGCTATCATAACTCTGCATTGTTCTCTGACCCGTGTCTGAATTTCTGTCTGATAAACTACTGGTGTAAGTTGGGCTGCACGTCAAAGGACTGACAGAAACATATTTACATAGTGAGCTACAGCAGACTAAAGACAGAAGGAATTAGAATTATTCTTCAAAATGGTGTCTCTTAAATCACTCAACGAATGAAGTAGAAAGAATATTGTATTCCTGGCCTTCACTGTCTATATTCTAAACTCTATACCAGGGTAGGCAACCTTGGCTCTTTCATGACTTGTGGACTTCAACTCCCAGAATTCCTGAGCCAGCCATGCTGAGGGGAAAGGGAGAGGTTTCCAAGCTGAGCCACGCTGGCTCAGGAATTCTGGGAGTTGAAGTCCACAAATCATAAAAGAGCCAAGGTTGCCTACCACTGCTCTATACTTTTAATCAACTCAGAGCTAAGATTCCAGGTCAGAAGAATCTGATGGAACCCATTGATTCAAACTCCTACTCAAATAAATGGAAGAAATTAAAAATGCAACCCTGCGGGGGATACCAACATGTCTAGATAATAATAATAATAATAATAATAATAATAATAATAATAATAATAATAATAATAATAATAATAATAATAATAATAATAATAATAATAATAATAGTAAAGTTGGAAGGGACCTTGAAGGTCATCTAGTCCAACCCCCTGCTCAGGCAGGAAACCCTATACCATTTCGGACAAATGGCTGTCCAGTCTCTTCTTAAAA